TAAAAAGACCTTAACATAACTTTTAAAGGGTTAGGGATAGTGCTTTCATACCTTACACATTTAATCCTTGTGACAAGATCTTTCATTTGATAGCAAGTCTTTTGACCCCTTGACCTTGGAGTTTGACCTACTTTTTAAATTTTTTTAACCTTGGTCATAACTTTTGAAGGGTTAGGGCTAGGGCTTCCATATTTCACATACGTATTTTTTGTGGCAATACCTTTCATTGGATACCATGATCTTTTAACCTTGACCTTGGAGATTTCCGTACTTATGAAAGAACTTTAACCTTGGCCTACTTTCATATTTCAGGATTGTATTTCCAGTGACTTTGCATATGAGAAAAGTTTAATCTTAGCTATGTTGCCATATCATTTTTCTCTATATTTTTTTAATGAAAAGAAATAGTGTGGCATATATGTCCGTCTACACTGGTGATTGCTGATTACACTGAACAGCAACTATATGTATATAAGTGAGTGGCTTTACATAGAAACCCTCAAATATAGGGAGTGAACAATCAAATGTAAAAAAAAATTCCTTTTATGAAACAGAATAGCCATGGTTAGTATTTATATGGAAAAATCCACAGGTAGAATAAAGTTTGTTCAAATCTTGGTGGAAGGGTGGGGGTCGCAATATATGTGATCAAAGGATCATTCTCTATAAGGCCATTTTGCGGCCTACAATGACTTCAAATTTTCAGATAGTATTTTTTCTCCTAAAAATTGCATGAATCACTAGGCTTATGTTCCAATTTAATGATAAATTTTGGTTGGTTAATGATACAATAATATTTTTGATGATATAGGGTCAGAAAGTAAGGTACTATCGGCCCATATTAGCATTAGAGTAATGGGAAAACTCAAGAGGGTGGCTGTGTTAGATAACTCCTACGCATGTCATAACCACCTTTAACCAACACCAAAATTTGCATGTAAATTTCTTATAAACATAAAAAGAGACTACCAAATTATGAATTTGGTTAAAGGTGGTTATGACATCTAAATAAAAACTTTTCACTTCATTTTTACGATATTTGCAGAAAAAGCTAACTACTCACAATGAAGGATATCAGCTTATGTAGATTATTTCTTTTTATAAACTTTTGGTTATATTACAATTTTCTGTTGATTTACTAAGGTTTATATCAGCCATGCATATTTACTAGAAAAAAAGTGAACTTTTTACTTAAAAATTTAAAAATCAAAGGACTGAGAAGACTGGATGTCATGAAATTACAAGTGGAGACGTTTCTTTGAAATGTCTAATAAAAATTAAAAAAATAAGAACTTTTTATCGAATATAAGGTGTGAATATGAGTTATCTTTTATATTTATAATGATAGTTTGTATATCTATATATGCTACTTCTTTGAACTTCGTTATGAGTTCTGCAAATATTCTTTGTATTTTCTTATGAGTACTGTTTATGTTCTAGAAATGATGAAAGCAATCTTTGTTGAAGTGGTAACATACATTTATTATAATTTATATCATTGACTTTTTTCCTATGGGTACGCACAAAATTTTTATATGGACACTTCCGTAGGAGTATCATTTGATCCATATTTATTGACTGGGTCTTAATATTGAGAGGACTCATCGACATAGGTTACGATAACATTAATCCTGTCTTAGAAAATAAACTGGTAAAGTGGAGGGGGATTCCTAAATGTTTTATGTGATTTATAAATGAATGTTGCTTTACCCCATTTAAGGATTTTTCAACCAGATAAAGAAATCATCCACTTAAGGTCAAGTGTTTATACATAGTTGCATTAATAACCAACGCCCAACGCAGGACGGGACCCTTTTTTGTAAAAAAAAAAAAAAAAAAAAAGATAATATCCAAAAGACCGATGACATTTACTTTAAATGCTAAAGACTTAGGTAGGGAACTGTCACTATCCGTGTTAAACAAGTTTTTGTAGCTGCACTGGGAAAGAGATTCAATTTAACCTACAGGTTTCAAGAATGGGAAAGGAGCATCAAACCCTAAGGGTCCATTTTGTACCTGAGATGTTGTTGAACTCTTAAGTCCGTATACCAGTATACACGAAAACTTCAGAATCTGATATGCATATTTGAAGGAACTGTTAAAATTCTACTCCATTTTTATGTTGTGCCGTTAGACACGAGGGGGGGGGGTCTCTCAACTTTTATACAATCATGTAAATACATAAAGTTAAGAAGGCATTTTTAATTGAATATATCGTGCAGCACGAGTAATTGAATAGAAGCAAAGGCATTTTACGACGCTATATCATTTTACTTAGAGATGTATATTTTAATGCAACCGCTCTGAGTTATATGTATTGACTATTTACATGTATATGGGTAGTCAACATGTACTTGCATTGATATCCTTCTGCTGTTAATTCTTTATTTTTTTGCAATTGTTGAATTTCTTTTCTTAATTACTACTTCAATTTTATTTAATCACAATCAAAATCCATTCAGAGCTTTCAACATTTGATACATAACTTTTAAAGTTTAATACACACTAAGAAACCTCATTTCTAACATGGTTATTTTATGGTAAAATAAGTACCACATCTAGAGAAATGATATACAATTACAATACAATTATATATGAATAATACTTTTCAATAAATTGCAAATCAAACTTTTTTCAGCACCATACAGTGTTAATTTCGTAAAGATTTACGTTCAAAATATGCAAAATGTGGATACATCGAAATTCTTGTCATAAAAATATCTTGAACCTTAAATTTAAAAATTTTTCGAATTTATTACTAACGTCTGATGTATTTCCGACATAAATAAACAATTTTTGATCATTTACATTCAAAAACTTGCATAGAAACTTGATTTAAATAGACCTACCCTCAATTTTTCTTTAACTGACAGCCATTTTTTATCTCTAAATCACGTGACTTAGATGATCGATGTTGAAAAACAAACATCAAAATAATGAACTAGAATGATTATAGTTATATAAAATCACATTTTAAAGTGATTTTATCGTAGGCCGGAAAATGGCCTTATAGAGAATGAACCTTTTACATACTAGGTATGTATAGGAAAAATCTTCACAAAAACAGCCGAGCCTTGATAAACATTTATTGGAAGCATCCTTAGAAAGTTGATATTTAAAACTCAAATTGTGAACCTAGGTAGGTGGGGATGTGTAGGTGTTACAGGTCAAAATATGTGATCCAAGTTTTACATAGGAATAGGGAAAACATTCGCTATCATTGTGAGTTAAAATTAGCATTGTGGTCAACTGGGCTTTTCATTCAAACATTCATCTGAAAATAATATTACACTGCCAACTTGCCGAGTTGTAAGTCTGTGCTTTTCATCAAGCTGTAATTTTAAAAAATTGACCTAAATCTGTGATCTTTTCCAATCAAAGTCGGTTCAAGCAAATTACTGTAAATGTATTATATTTAGCGTGTACAGTATTTAGCGGAAAGTGATTTTTAAACAAGTTAGCGTAGATTTGATTCAGCGCATTTCTTGATGTTCTTATTCATGTATCATTATTTTAAAAGACATTTAGAGATGTACTTGATTTAGCGGAAGTATCTTTCTGGCAAAAGCGCTAAAAAAAATTCAGTTCAATACACCGCCAAATGTACTAGTTACAGTATGCTAAAATTTCCTGTTTCCAGACTGTAAAAATGCCTGGGACATTCAGCAAGCTCTAGATGGTAAGCTGATCATATGTTTAGTTTTATAAATAAAACACATCTTAGAAAGCAAAATACTTTATTTACAGTTTTGTTCATTAAATTCTTCATTTCTCGTAACAATCTGCTTTTCACTTGGAAGTTCTGTGATTATAAAAAATAAATTCATACAGTTCACTGTATATTCCATGTACATTGAACATGGAGAAAAATATCTCGGTTTTGAACTTTTCACTCAGGACTTGGAAATAAGTTTTGTGTCATTTAACATAGAGAATACTGACAAGCTGGAATTCACTGCTTATCTATAGATGATATACAACGTTTATTTCTCTTAGAGACTTTTTTACAAACTTCTTCACCACACAAATATATAGGCATTGTAAAGTAAAACATGAAAAATATTCTTAAATAGATCGAATTTATTCCAACTGAATGAAATAAAAATGTTTCTTTTACAAATGAAGATAAAGAATATAGGATTATAAATTTGTTAATAAATACATGTAGAAGGCATCAATATTTAGCAGGATATAAAAAGTAATTTTGGCAAAAGGAAAGCATTGGTGACTTGAAAATATTATTAGAAGCACAGGCACCTGACAAATGAATAGTACATGTAAACACCCCAACCCCAGCATGCGCATATCTAGAGTGGGACCCTCCTGGAATCTGCAGAGTTATTAAATGTACATACTAAACCAACAAAACATGCCCCCCCCCCAAAAAAAAAACACACACACACAGACCCCCCCCCCCCCCCTCAAAAATGCAGATCTGTGAAAGATTGGTATGAAGTTCCCCCAATACATGTAAGTTTCAAAGATTGGTCCTAATTTACCTTAATACATAGTATTTTTATATACTGTAAAGGGCAAATCTGCAGAACTAAAGAGGAAAACGGTATAACATATCGAAATACAGGTCTGATTGACTAGGAATTAATGTAATTTTAAAAAGTCTGATAAAATTTCTTAGAAGCTAGGGGCGGGTGTTATAACATCCATCTATCAAGTGCCTGACTTAAGGTACTGAGTAAAGTATATAAATTTAAGCATATGAACAAAGAAATATCACATTTACTAAAAGCATAATTTATAAATTGCCAATTTGTGAAATAGATTTTTTACACACATCAAACTATCAAGAGCCAAATTTCTTATCAAATACCTGTTTGGATAAATTACAGCTCTTATGATAAATTATTATTTAGACACTCTCATGGTATATGCCAATATTTTAATTCAATTTCTATGAGTAATCCAAAAATGTAACTGTAGTCTAAATTAAATTTTTATTAAATTGCATTTCTACCAGCAATCAGAATTTAAAAAAAAAAATTATTTCATACAGATGCTAAAAATTGTGATAATTAACAATCTCTTCCATAACATGCCCTTATTGTTTTCTAACTATACATGTTTAACTTAATATAATGTTTATGATATCACACTTACAGCTTTAAACTGAATGTTTGCCACAATAAGAATTTGTAGAAATATAATTCCTCCTTTATAAACTATATCAAATGGATAACAAAAATAGAGCAGAAACTTGCCCATGACTAGTCATATTTATATAAAAATAGACAATTACAAAAATAGTCATCACACTATAGCTTCCTCTTCCTACAATGGGCTGTTCTGTTTCTGTCTGCATGCCTTTTTGTGTATTATTTTTCTCATGTTCAAAATCAGCTGGAAGACAGTTTTAACAAAATTTAAACATACGAGTGGAAATTAAGTTACCTCATCTAACATCTTCATTTAATGAGAAAAGTTGCTTAGGTTACTTACATGTGTGTACACATAACAGAAATATATTGTGCAAAGGAAAAAAAATAGGAAGATGTTGTACCCTGTAAAACTAATAGTTCATAGAGATGAATAGATTATCAATGTAATATTTTAAATGTAATATAAAAACCTTAATGAATAACATCTTTTAAAAAAGCACTAGTTTTGACAAGTACGGCACCATATCATGCATTATACAATGTAATGAACACAACACATTGTCATACTTGAATCTCCTATTCTAACATGAAAAAAATATCAATGGAATGTAAACCAAATTAATTTACTCTTGCTTTCATTATTCTGAGGCTTTGAAATCAGACATACAACAAAAAACGCATGCTTATACTACAATGTTCTAAGAGTCTCAAGAGCAAGCAATACAAAGCAACATTAATTGAAATGAAGAGTAACAGTTATTTTTAAGTAAAACTTGATGGAAAAAATCAGTAAATTAATATTCAAGATGACATCTGACTAATGCTTAAAATACCATATTCTTCCAATTTTCTGTTGAAATTTATAAAAGGGGTAGAATCTTTCGACATTCACTATATGAATTCTTTTCTATGAAAATCCCATCACTCTAGCCAAGATGTTAAAAAAAAATTCTGGCCATTGTTCCAGATTTTGTCAATCTGGTCTGCACAGATCCTATGGAATAATGACATTGGTCATTTTCATTGAATAAATATATTTCAATTTTTTAATGGTTTTGAAGATATATCGCGCTTGTTGACTTGGACAATCTGATAAGATAATAAAAGGGACCCTTATATTCAGAGACAATGGGAAAATATTTCACAAGGGCCTTATAGGGGCACAAATATGAGAATATGGTCATTCTTTTCACAGTATATCAGTGCACAAAACAAGGGCAATATAATCCAAAAAGATTTCATATGGTTCATAAAACTTGAGTCATGTTTTTAAAAACATTCGACAAAATATGTTTAACAGGTTTTTAAACTCAAAAAAAGAGTGTTGTTAATCATTGATCCAAAAAATTGACTTGTATAAAAAGTAAAACCTAATACCTAATACAGATATTTCAATTCAGACAGATTCATACCAGCATACATGAACAAAACCTCTTTACAGAAAACAGGATATTGCAACAAAAACAAAAAAAGATCAATTTGTCCAATAAAAGGTCTGGTAATAAACTGAACATATGGATAAATGTAATACTGTAAAACTTTTTTCTTAAATCTTATATATATGTACTATATACCTTTCTTTACATGATTACATATAAAGGATGAATTACATTGCATTTATAATTGCTGCACAGTCTCATTTAAACACAGCCTAATCTCTAAGAAAACAAATGGTTAAAGATTGCCTTCGTCCATCATCTTATGCATATCAGCAGTTATTGAGTCCATCTCCTTCTTATGGGGCCCTGAGGGATTAAACAAAGCATCCATTAATTCGTCTTTTGTGAAGAAGTTAAACACTGTATCCACGCGACCTTTTGATTTGTCTGTGAGGTGGCGTTGTATGAGACTTTGTAGAAGTTGCCGACATTCTTCAATGCTGGATTTCAGGAATGGTTTCTCGTAGGTAAAATCCACTTCATGAAAGCTAACAACTGTCATTGATAGAGAGTGAAACTTGCTTTTGAAGGATTCGGCCACCTGCAGTTCATCAGCGTTGAACTGATCATTTCTGTATAGGATGCCCACCTTGATGATGGTTTTTATGATGTACTTAAGCAACTTTTCTGCTTGTTTCTTGTCACCAGTGAAGTCTTTCATTATCCTATAAGCATTGTCTAAAACTTGACTTGTAGTATCGTCAACAAATTGTTTGACAATCTTCTTGCTGGACATCTTTCCTAGTAGTTTCTTCTGGGCCCTCAGCCCGAAGCCTTTAGCATCAAACCCAGCTCCGGGTTCTGCCACTGCAAAAGATTAAAAAATATGCATTAATTGTACAACTTCTATAATGCAGCTGATCCATCCCTTACCCCTCTTCACAATAAACTAGACGTTGAATGAAGTAATCTTAATAACTATAAAGTCACATTGGATAACAATGAATTTCAAGGTCATATGGAAGGTATGGTCAGAAAATTATGGATTTAAGTATAAATGAGTTGAGTGTGGAGAAAAAATATCTTGAACTCTTTGATACTAAGGTTAATGCTAGTCACAACGTACAAATTAAGAGGACATAGCAGAAGGTCTGAGAGCTAGAAAATAAAGACGGTCGAACTGCTCTTCAGGTCATACACATATTTATTATAGGAATGGCAATTTGTAACAGGTTTAACAGGGTAACTTGGTCACATACAGTGGACCTTCAGCTATCCAGATGCTTCAGTATCTGGATGCTTCAGTATCCGGACGACTTTTCATCGGAACAGAATTTTTTTAATGTTACATTGTCTTGTTTACAGGTAATTGGTAATTCAGATATCCAGATGCTTTACATAAGCGGACAAATTGACAAGGAACCAAAGCGTCTGGATAAATGAGGCTCCACTGTATTTGTTAATTATTTTTATTAAAGGATTGTTGAGTCTTGTGCACCGATTATAATATGTATCTTCCCATTTCTATCCTTTGAAATTACATAACTGTCAAATAATATAATCATGCAAGCATTTGTAAATTTAGTGATTGTAGTTCCCAATTTATACTTGATTTGGAAACATTAAGCAGGTTGTGACATCTGGTCTGATTTTTTCATGTATCTCATACATTTTCATGGGTTTCTGTTTCCTTTTTTTCTTTTGGCCAATATATAAATCATTCAAAACAAAATAATATATATATGGTATTCTGATCAGAGAGAACCATAATTTTACCGATGCCTATTTAGTTCTTCTGTTGATTTGAACAGAGCTTATAATTTCAATGACTGAATATATCAAAATATAATTTTTATACAATTAACACACTATAAATTGAGGAGAACATCTTGCCATTGACCAATCGGCAATTCTGTATATGATTGCCATCCCTAATATATATCTATATGTAAAAATATAATAAGTTAAATCATTCTTTCTACTATGTCAATATTCTTTGGACTTTCCCTGTCTGAGTGATTTTAAAATCAATGTTGCTTTGTAAATCACTTTGCCATAAGGGTTAATTCATTATAAACATGTTTATTATAACCGTACTTTACTGTATCTTGATTTGGAGCACTCAGAGGATTGTCCATGCCCTATAGCTTGTATGGCCATAAATCAACATATACTACGGAAATTTTACTCTTTGGACAAGGAATTTTCATCAAAGTTAGAGTGGTTGTCTCATCAACAATTTTGAAATCATTTATACAGTAAATATATGTATAGCATTAAATTTAGGATTCCTGCAGATATATCCATTTTCTGGTGAGATACTGATCGAATTTACCTGTACCAGTATTATTCCTTTTTTTCTAGACAACATATTAATATACATTAAAATCAAATACTTTAACATGCAGTCAAATAAAAAAAATTCAGGTACTGAATGCTATTAAATAACTATATCTGAATATATGAAACAGACACTTCAAAAAAACGATATCATTTTTTAAAAAGTTTGATGAACTTTTTTTTCTTTCCAAATTCAATGCAAGATTGCTCACTGATACAATGCACCAAAGTGTAAATCTGTCTAATAAGCAGATACACTACACCATGTTCAAGTGGTTTATTCTTAATGAGAAGCCTCCACATTGTGTGAACAATGCAGATGGTCACTGTAAGATGCTTAAAAGTAAACACAACCTTGTCATTGTAAGGAAAGTGGTTAACAATTTCTATGTGATTGTATAAACAGTCAAGTTTCACTGATGTGTGTGGAAAAATACTCCCCTGTCAACGAGCTGGGAAATTTTCCATCCTTGAAAATCTGCCCATTACACATTAAGTCCTGAGTGTTTCATTAGGATCATGCATCAAAATACATCAAATTATCTGGTCGTGCAGCCACCCACCCCCCTTAAACTGACCTCTCCCCACCCCACCCATCCCACATTCACACGGAAAATCAATGCAGATCAAGGTCAAATGTGGATTGAAAGCCAAATATTAAAGCGTCTACAATTTAATAGCCATTCTCTGTAACCACTTGAACTTCGTTGCCACGCATGGTCACCGATTTTGATGAAACTTCACCCATGCATAGTACTTGACACCAGAAACAAATATCAAATAAAATTTCGTCGCTAAGTGTCTCGGTTGCTATGGCAACAGCCGGAAAAGTTTGAAAAATCAAGATTTTCAGCCACTTTAACTCTTGACTGTGGCTCAATAAAAACTAGAAAAAGCAAACAAACCATTCTCACAAAAACATGACACCTTGATGTCACTTATACTGTAAAGAAACTGTTTAGAATATATCTCTAAGTAAGTGGTAACCAAGGGTACATTTGGAATACATTTAAAATGATGAAATATGCTGAAAAACACTCCGTATTCACTAATGGTAGGTGTTACATGCTCAAACTCAATCAACGACTTGAGAAAAACAATGAAAATGTTTGACCTTAAGTATATAAGTGTAAGCAATATTATTCTATAAATAATTTTTATGGTTGCCATGGTAACACAGTGTAACCATGCAAAACCAGTAACTAAGATTGGGTTAATGCTACTGTCTTGAGGAAAAACATAAAAATTCAAGACTGGCAAATATGCATCCTTAGGATCTTGCATCACCAAATACATGAGATCAATTGGGTATAATTGCTACTTTGCAGTGTTACCATGGAAACAAAGTACCAGTGCTTAAAAGTGAATTATTTTTCGCTGCATTAAGAAGTAAATTGCCATATATTTAAGAACCAAATTAAAGGACTCAGCTTGAATAGTACTTATCTGTTAGAACTGAAGTTGAATATCACATATTGATAAAATTTGATGAAGAATACAACACCGTTGCTATGGTTACCAAGAAGGGAAAATATTCGATTTTATGAACTTTTTATCAATATTAAACCCTGTGTGCCAACTTCTTGCATCCACTTAGAGATTGGATGATAGTCAAAATTAAAAGTCAGGTTAGCTGTTAATAAATATCAATCATAAAAGTTTTGGGAATCTACATTTAAGGGTACGTATCCAAGGAAAGAAAATATTTTTCAGGTTTTAAAGCATATATTTTCTGCTTATTTCCATAGCAACGCTCTATTTAAAGAATCTAATCTGAATTTTTTCAAATGGGAAAACTAGGAGCACACCAACATCTTTAAAAATTGATCATTAGTTATGGGGAAATGTGCTTTTTTAAAAGATAGGATCAGATTTAAAAATACAGAGTGTTACTTTGAAGGCTCTCTTTAGTATAAAAACCTTGGCAACCATTGCGAACCAATACGAAATATCATATTTTGTTCTTGGTATATGTTTCAAGGCTCTTTTTTCTATTATTTGGTCACATTTCATCCTATAATTGCTTTTTATTTTTACGTGTGTGAATTTATAAAATTCAATGAATTTTTTTTTTACTTTTGAATACTTTGTTACCATAGTAACGTATGTAATAGTTGATTTACCAAACATGTTTATCATGCATTGGAGACATCTCACCTTCAACTTTTGGAAACAGTCATTGCCAATTGTTTGCTTTGCCGCAAATGTTAACTATGGGGCTCTAAACATGTTAAAATATGCCATTTTTCGAACTTTAAGATATGTTGCCATGGTAACTATAAAGCATAGCAACCAATTTTTGCCTGATTTCAGTTTAGGGTATCAATGACTTTTATCATAGAGAGTTTGGAGAAATTCTGAGACTATGCGTGCCACAGCTCCTATATAAAATTTCAAATCATTACAGAGAATGGCTCTTAATAAGCATTCTCAACACTTAATGTAATACTTGTAATTAATGATGAGAATTCATGAGTACATAAATTGTTTTGTGATATTAAACTATGGAAAACTATAAAAATTCCACTAAATATATATACTAGTACTTCATACTCCAAATCAAACTCCAGCATGCTTCATATTGAAAACATCAAAAGTGCATTAATCCTAACTGCTTAGTACATGTATATAATTATCTGAAATACTGTGAATTCATTTAATCATTGACTTAGCTTAGTTATAGTTTTAAACCTATAAGGCACCGTTTTTGGTATTTACTGGCAAAAAGTGATATCAACTATTTGAATAGGTGATATCACTTATTCGAATAGGTGATATCACTTATTCATTTTGTACAGGTGATATCACCTATTTGAATATGTGATATCACTTATTCGAATAGGTGAATCACCTATTCAAATTGGTAATATCACCTATTGGAAATGAATACTAAATATCTGCAAAGTTTGACAAAATTCTGTGCAGCGGTTTATGAGGAGTTGCGCTTACAAACTGTTCATCTCTATATTCAAGATATGGACAAAAATCTAAGTTGAAAAGTGCCGAAATTCCCGGAAAAAAATAGAGGAATTGGAATTTCCTGGTAAAATGTTGTGTCCTAAATATCTGCAAAGTGATGAAATTTTGTGCAGTGGTTTATGAGATTTTGCGCTGACAGAAAAACAGGACTGACGGACTGACTGACACAATGACTGACTGACGGGTCAAAAACATTGTACCTCAAGCAACTTGTTGCATGGGGTATAATAACATTACATCAAAGTAAATATTCCTGCCTCAATAAGGATCCCTAAACCCTAAAGCAGCCCCACCCCACCCATCCCTCCTTATCATTTTTAATCTAAAAAGAATCTCTGCCCCCTCCTGACAATATTTCACAAAATCTTTTCTAACCTTAGAGAAAAGAAAGATATAATTTTTTAAAAATCTTTCCAATTGTTTATTGTGATAATTTGTTAACCACTCAATTGGATACATCAACGTCCAATATAGTTGACAATCCTTTTGTTATAACATCTTAACAATAAAATATGTTCAAACCAGTTGACACATGGATACACGGCTTCAATTTTGTCCCTCCATCATTTAAAATCAATAAATAACAAACCAACCTAACTAGTACAAGTCCGCTATGAATGAAGACATAGAAGAGATACAAACCTCTGTATTATCATGATTATAACTTACTCACTTTTATCACAAAGATCTGAAAGACTGTCAAATTCATTCACTTTCAATTACTCCTTGATCTACATGTAAAACTTGACAAGAAGTTACAGTAACTATATATATATATGTATATAAAATTATATAAGTAATCAGGAATAGTTATTATAAATGTGTTTTCTGCAGAAAATATGAGCAAATACTGTAAATATTTATAGATGTTTAATGCAATTACTCTAGTTAACTGGTGAATTACTGTGGATTATGGGATATTTTTACACATAATTACTGTAATCTCTGTGGTATATTTGGTATATGCTCGTCATACAATCAACAATACAAGGGTGAACACATTCTCATATCATTATACACTACGTGTATCTAGGTATTTTTATATATGGTATTTTCGGATTAGCGCATTATGATATATATATTATATAATTACACACACTACACAATATGTATGCGAGCATGCAAACATACTGATGTCGGACTCGGAACTTCCTGCATGATCCTCCTCTCCGCCAGACACTGTCATTACATAACCAGACAAGATATTAGTATTCATCTAACAAATCGTTATTTATAAAAGAGAACATAACAATTATCAATAGGCATATGATGAATATTTAAAATCACATTTGTAAAATTAAACCTGTATTTAAAATCATAACAATTAAATGTACAGAACTCAAATGCATCATATTTTAATGTAGGAGAAATATATGCATGTCTACAAATTTTTTTTTACAATATTGAAAGAATTGCACCGTGATTTTTTTCCCCCATTTCTATCACTTTTTTATTCTGTCTGAATTTTAATAAGTTTTTCTCGCATTTACAGTTCAGTATTATTGACTGGTTCATACATTTGCTGCCATATTTACTACTCCCACTGGTTCCCAAAGTGCACATACCAACATGACTGATAGCTGATAGCAGGTGTGTACACCAATGGACACCTGTGGCTTTAACCATTAAAATAACACTTAATTACTTCTGTTTCAGCCAGCAGCAGTAGCAATCCTATTCTTCTATTTTATGTTCTACTCAGAGAAAATTTGAGAGAGCTTAAAATTAACAGATCTTTCTAGCCTTATGAAGGGACTTGCTGTGTGCTTCACCTTCTTAAAAATACGTTTCTATAAAAGTCAAAAGTGAAGATAAGAGCAAGTCTGCATTATGTTTCTTGTGTCAAAAATACCACAAAAATAAAATGAACTGTATACAACTTTGAACAGAAATAGGATGAACAGGAAAAAAATTGATAAAATCTGCAAATTCATCAATGTTTTTCATTTGAGTCAATTTAATGAATTAAATCAATTTAAAATAACTAAACAAGAGTTGTCTACAAACTTTATGAAAATAGTATTTTTACCAAGAATAGT